CTGACTCGGAAATAACATGTTGAACAAAAAGCGAAATGAAAGCCCTCCTGCCTTTCTGCAGCTCTGGCAGGCGTATTAACCCCAAGCAAGCACGAAATGTTTGGGAGAGGCAGGGGGCCCTGCGCGGCGTGGGGAGGGGGCTGTGCCCTGGGACGAGAGCGGCGCTTCCCACAGCCTCAGCGAGCAGCTTCGTTTTACTGCTGCCGGCCACAGAGACCTTTTTTTAGCCCCGGTTTAAACCGACCCCGTCCCGAGTGACTAGTTGTACCTGTCTGGGCTGTGTATGCTCCAGAGATACCGCCTGGGTCCAGCTCCCAGTGTTCTGATGTTATCACCACATCGGGTTTTCCTCTGCACACCAGACCGAGCCCACTATCTCTCTCTCTCTCTCTAACTTGTTGCTGCGGCAAGTCTCTAGAGAATAATATGTGCTGCAACAATTTCTCTATTGTTTCCTTGCCTTCAACTATTGTGCCCCTTAATTAGAGTTACTTGTGGAGTAGATCAGAGGGTTGTTCTTGCTACCAAAAAAAAAAAAAAAAGTTGCAATCCGATATTTTGCCATTATTGATACTATTATTCTTGTTACTGTTTTCAGGTTCATGAATTGTGCGATAATTTCTGCCATCGGTACATTAGTTGTTTGAAAGGAAAAATGCCAATAGATCTCGTTATTGATGAAAGGGATGGCAGCTCCAAATCAGACCATGAAGAACTCTCAGGATCTTCCACAAATTTAGCCGACCATGTAAGTCCTTCTGATTTCTTTGTGGCACTTTTTAAGACTTCAACCTGCCTAGGGGACCTGTCCCCGATTTCATTGTTTTGCTGCTGTTGTCTATGATTATTATTATTATTGTTACTACTGCTTGAACGTCTTGCAAGCTCGGATCCCATCTTTACACTTTCTTCCCTCTCGCTTTGTAAAGTTGTAGGAATGCAAAAGGTTCCTTCTGTTTCCAACTGTAAAGCAGCAGGTTTGCAAGGGTTTGTAAAGTTTCCTGGTCTGGGCGGCTTGGAGAGCTGGCAAACTGTCGGTTTGATGTGGGGATCGGTGCTTTCTCTTCTTCTTTGCCAACTCTGTAATCAATGCAGCAAAGCAAGGAAACAGAGACAAGAAAGTTAGGGAGAAAGTTTGCTGATTTGCTCCCCCCTCCCCTCTGGTGGGGATGACAAGTGATGAGAATTATTGGCAATACTACATTGCATTAAAAAAAAAGGGTTAGCACATTAGAGTTTCCAATGCTTGTGCTTTATAGCAACTTATTGTCAGAATATGGACTTATTGCCAAACGCCTGAAGCATCTTCATAATAAAAGACAGTAACCTTGATGAAGCAATTATTAACAATGTATTACAGAAAGCTGGAGAGAATGATGATTGAGTAACCGTAGGTTAGCGGTTGATTTTAACACTTTGGGAGTTGGTGAATTAGTGCTGTGTGTGTAGGACTGAACGTTGGTGTGCGTGGGGAGGAGAGTGCCTTTGTTTTTCCGGGTTTTGGAGCGGCTCCTGTGATCCTTCAAAAGATGCAGACGCGGAGAGGCTTCGGGATGTGGAGGGAAAGATTGCAGCTGGTACCGCAGAAAGGGGAAGGAATAGCTCTGGTTAAAAAGAGTGGGTGTGAACTCTAGTTTATTTATAGGAACGCATCCCTGGGGGGAAAAGGGGTTTACACAGTTTTAGATTCAATTGAACTCATGATCTAAATGATACAGTCTAATATTTTAGCGGTTGAAATATTAAATTAACACCCGGTGTGAAGTTAACCGTGCTTTCTGCACAGGCGCCTGCCTTTACTTCCCAGTGTGTTAAGAAGAGTAGCTGCAAGCCCAGGGAGAATGAGCTTTCTAGGAGCTTTTGTTTCCTTTGAAAACATGTTGTTTGTGTGTGTATTTGATAATTACATTAGACTTGGACTGAAGCTGAATTGGGAGATAAAATAATAATAAATTCTTCTAAATGCCCCCCTTCTGGCACGGCTTAGTTCCAGAGCCCGGGAAATATTTTTGGACCCAAGCCTTAGCTTTCATTTTCTCATTTGTATTCGGTAAACATTGCAGGACAAGGTTTTTGTGATGTCTTACAATTTAAATCTATTATTTTGAGAGAGAAAAAAAATGTACGCAGAGGTTCCTGAAAGTTTCTCTGCTTATCAGCTCTCTCACACGTAGATAATAAACTCTATGAGGCATGACACTGTTTCAAAAATATTTGTTTTATGACATTTTACAACCCTAAATTCGTGTGCATAAGTATTCTGGGAGAGTACTAGAAAAGAAATTGAAATGAGTGGCAACCTGAAAGATATGGGGTCATTGTGTATGATTCAGAGCAGCAGGAAAAAAAAGTACGTTTCTCCAGTACAGTTTCTTTACAAGAGTGTGTTTCAAGTGGAAGTGTAGAAATGGAGCATGCTTATGTTTATATTGAAGAGATTAGATAAACTAGCCTGTTTAGGGTTCTGGCAGATGGCGAATGCTGAAGCCAATTTGCAGTGCTCCATTATAATATTTAAATTCACACACAATGATAGGACAGAGGTGGAGGGGGTTAGCATTTTGATAATTTGATAACTATTATCTTCCCTAAGAAGAATCTCCTCTTGCTTTTGTGGCCCCAAAAACAAACTCAAATAAATATGACAATCCATTTATCTTGCACCCGTTAGGGTTTACCACTTCATTGGGTATTATAATTTAAAGCCCTTTATTTCCTGGAGATTTGAGCTATAACATTTTTACTTTAGCCCCCTGCTATTTGTTTTGAAAGGAAGCAATAATTTGTGCAACCAGAACACCAACTGGGAAATGAAGAGTTGTATCACATAGTTACATTTTATTCATGCGTTTTGGGAAATGTGTCTCCTTATTGGATTTTTTTTTTTTTTTGTATATTAGCTTGTTTTCCCAACAAAACTTTAACACTCTTTTATAGCTTAGTCAAACTACCGTGTGTGTACACGTTTGTATTTGCACTGTACAAGGTTCCAGCAGGAAGAAATCCACTTTTATTCATCAAGAAGGAAAAGCTTTAAAAAATGGCTAATATAAACATGCAAGACTACCAAAAAAACGAGCTATCATTTGTGAGCATCTACCTGAAAATGTAGTAGTTCAAGCATGCAAATTTGTCCAATTTGACTCTCCAGGTTTATTTTTTCATTTGCTTTGATATGCATATTTAATACATAGCCTCAGGCTAGATCTCATTTGGTGAAAGTTGGTGCAGGGGTGATGATGAGCCACTTCACAAGGACAGAGACAGCATGTTGTTTCCTCTGTTTTATGTATTGGCCCACTATTCTGATCCATGGGTCTTCCCCTCATGGTTTTATTTGCACATGAAATACTAGGAGCATTTCAACTGATTGGCTATGAATAATGATAGCCAAAAAGAAGTGTAGTTTAATTTGTTGTGTGCCAAGGTTTCTCTTGTGGAGGTGACAGTTTGTGACAGCTGCTTGACACCCCAAAAATCCATACACCTCTATTCTTATTAAGTGGTATAAAGCTACACTGTGTGTGTTTAATGTGAATGCGAGGGGTGGCAGCGGTGACAGTGGCAGTGCTGAACTAGGAACTAAGGCAGCTCTCACTTTTATTCCTGTGCTAGACCTGAAAACGTAGAGTGAGGGAAAGTAACAGAAAGAATTGTAGGATTAGCCAATATTTACCATAAGACTTTAAATGGGGTACTCAAATAGCGCATGCTTCCCTTTTCAAAATCTACTGCTCTACTATTTATATAACTTAATTGGAAACCAAAACCAAAATCAACAAAGGAATGAACCCTTCAGAGATATACCTGTGCTGGAAAAAGGAGACAGCTGTAAGCGGTTGTGCTATACGTGTTTTGTAGTAAATGTGTTTATCGAATTTTATTTTAGTGCGCTATTAACTGTTATGTAATACAGTAAGTGTAAAGGGTCCGGGGACTTGGTAGATCAAATAGTGCAGTGCTGGCCACAAGAAGCTGAAACTTTTGTTATTACTCTGCTGTGTTTAGTAAATATAACAGCCCATAATTAGTGTTTGAATTTTTAACACCCTCATATTTTTTTATTGCTCTGAGGTATTAGCTGTCGATGGGAAGAAGGTAATTACAGCTATGCCCTGGCTGAACTAGATCAGTTAGGGGGGGAAAAAAAAAAAAGAAAAGAGGAAAGAAACCTTGCCAGGAATCTCTCCAGAAGGCACCAAGCCTTATCAATAGTTTTGTTTCCAAATGCACGTTGCTTTTAGTGTTTCAAGGCAGAGTGCTCGTTTCGCTTACTCGGGCAAAACCTCCGGTGCCACAGAGAAAGGCCAAGGTGTAGTAAAAAAACCAAAAAGTAAAAATAGACTGATGCTTTCTGAGGAGAAAATCCTGCGTGCATTCTGTGTTCAAAATAAAATATCTATTGAGATAACAAACAAATCTTTTTTTTTTTTTTTTTTCCTTTCGAGCTACTCAAAGCTGAAAAACATAATGCTTGTAAAATTTGGAGATTTTAAAACTTTTTTCCAGCATATGATTACATTTCGTATTTTAATTACATTTCTTTTGTACCTGGCTTCACCTAGTGCCACACAATTCTTCCTTTAGCACAAACCTACTTTGAAGCCTAGTAATTCTTCCGTAGAAATTTATGGCTCTCCTTCCGCTGGCTTTCATGGGAGCAGGATCAGGGCCTCAGTCTTTCTGATATTTGTTTATATGTTCTAGTCAATTTGCAGCTGAGAGGTAATAATATACAGATCATCATTCATAAAATATAATTAAAAATGGATAGAAATATACATACGTCTCTTTTTTATAAAAGGACTGTTGACAGATTAGAAATCCGATGCCTTAGCTGTAGAAGAGAAATATTAGTCTGAATATTAAACCTTTCAGCTCTCAAATGAGGAGATGCTTTTATTTTGTACTTTTGGACACCCAGACATTTTACATTTCTTTAATATTTCTTCTCAAAGAACGGTCTGTGCAAATTCCTGACATCTTGCAGATGAGAACAAATAAAAATAGGGTAATATATATCTGTTCCAGTTATATAATTAAACCTTTAGGTAAGATTTCACTGAGTAATGAAGAAGTAATTGGGGGCCTGATGTTGCAGTCTCCAGGTATGCCATACTTTGATGAACTTCAGTGGGAGTTTTGAGTATGCCAGGATCAGACCCCAAAGGTGGCCTTTCTGTTTGCAGTGTGTCAGAAGGGAAACTCAGTAAACTGCAGCAATAATAAGGCAAACTTTTTCTTTAATAACCAAATTTCCTAGTATGTGGCTTGAGAGTTAGGACGTTACGGTAGGCCCTGTGCATTCTGAAGGGGCAAGGAGGAGCATCAGGAACTTTCCGGGACTGTAGAAAATGGTGTGTATTTCCTCCTTTTGATGGGCCAAGGTGCTCTGCAAAGGCATTCTACAGCTCAAATTTGAGTGTTTTAATTTTAAACTGGGTTCTCTCGGACTGAACCGATAATGTATTTCACTGTTTGATGCCGGTGTTCCCTCTTTGGTTTGAGTTGTCTATCAGTCTAGATGAAGTGTAGCCATGCAGAATGACATAGAAGCACAATTTAAAAACCAAGAAACCCCCGATTTTTCAAGTCTCAGTTCCTTGCTGACAGGTGGATTACATGTCTGATTTCAATCTTAATTGGAAAATATAAAGCACGCAGCTTTTCAGAACGTTGCCATCTTCTAGGAGTATCAAAAATTCCTCCTGACACTTTCCTCAAATGCAAAATCAAGGGACAAGAATT